TTCCATTGCAGCACTTTATGTAATAGTAATAATATATGTTGCTTTCCTAATTTCTTACAGCTGGTACTACCACCAACTGCTCATGTACACTCCGTACCCCTTTTCTGTACATACCACCCACCACCATACACTCCACACTCCTCTCCTGCACATAGTACCCACTGCCATACACTATGTACCCCTCTCCTCCTATACATACTGCCCACCATCATACACTCCGTACCCCTCTCCTGCACATACTATCCACTGCCATACACTATGTACCCCTCTCCTGTACATATCACCCACCACCATACATTACACACTCCTCTCCTGTACATACTGCCCACCATCATACACTCCGTACCCCTCTCCTGCACATACTACCCACAGCCATACACTATGTACCCCTCTCCTGTACATACTGTCCACCACCATACACTGTCCTGTACATATCATCCACCGCCATACTTTTCATACCTCTTTCTTGCACATACTACCCATCGCCATACACTCCGTACCCTTCTCCTGTACATATTGCCCATCACCATACACTCCATATCCCTCTCCTGCACATACTTCCCACTACTATACACTCCTTACTTCTCTCCTGTACATACCATCCACCGCAATGCACTCCATATTGGTGATTAGGTGTACAATAATTGTGCAAAAGAACCCCAAATGCAAAATTTTTACCTTTCAATAAAAAGCAGTTTGTATCATTGAAAGCTCTGTTATTGTGTTTTTCTTTTAAAACAAAAGATGGTAGCCTCCCTAGCAGTTTGATTATGTCAGTATTTCTGTGCTCAAAGCGGTACATTTTTGTGCATGGAAATATGTTGTTTTTTTTTATTGTAGGCCTGTAATTTTTAGGAAATAACTCACTGAAATCTGTCCGAACAAGAATCTAGTAAACATTCCGGGTATGATAAAATTTGAAACACGAAATCATAAATTATAAATTTAATAAATAATCATAAAAAATAATAAATTTAATTCAATAATGTAATCAAACCAAAAACCCTGAAATTTGAAATAGAGCGCCAAGTTCGCACATCGCTGAGCAAAGTCGCAAAATCGTTTTCAGTGTCTGATGACGAATTTCCCCACAAATCATCACTCAATTCTGCAAGTGGTTCTAATTTTCTATCGCTGTTCTCTAGCCGGTCTAAAACCGATTTTGACCTAAAGGGACGCTTTTGGACGCCATGGACGTTTCTTAGTTTCCAGGCAGAAAGAACAGTATACATGCAGGCAGGGCACAGGACAAAGCACTCGGGACAAAATGTATGTGAAATGCTTTGATACAGGAATGGAATACTATGTGATTTTAGTGTATTTAGCGAATGTCACTTTTTGACATTTTTAAATTTCCCGCCGTTCCGTCCCCCGTACGTCGCAGGGAACCCAGAGGAGATGGCCGGTGACGCTGCAGCAGGGGGGACATTGCGGGAGAAAAGGACAAGGTAAGCGTAGAAGGGATCCCTGAGAAACGCTGCAAGGTATTCCCGAGTGTAGCTCGGGGTTACCGCTTGTGGTGCTGAAACTTTACCCCGAGCTACACTCGGGAATACTGCCAGGGAGGTTAATGTATGAGTATTTTTTTCTAAACTAAAACCTCAGTATTCAGGTTTAATTGCAATGTTGTTGCACTTCGCGATAAATAAGTGAGTGAGTTTTGGGTTGCACTTTGGGCACTCGGTCTCTAAAAGGTTCGCCATCACTGCCCTAGCAGTACAGTGTCACCATGGTGACACTGTACTACTTGTGGGGGGTGATGAAGATGTTTTTTTTTTTTTACACTGATTGCTTTTACACCCATATAGGATGTAAAAGCAATCATTTCTCTTTCTCTCTGTCTGCATTCTTGCAGTCATTGAGAAGTACTGAGTGAGCTGTGATTGGTCACACCTTGTCACATGGTACAAGGCTGTTGTGAATAGCCTTGTACCATGTGACCTCTGTGATCATTCACAGATTTCACACGTAGTAAGCAATGATGTCACAAGTGACATCTTGCTTACTACTTTGCATGTGATCACTGATTGGCCAATCAGTGATCACATGATCGGGACCTCGCACAGAGGTCCCGTCCGACGATCAGCGTTTCACTGTGACCGGAGGACACAGCGGGCTCCGGATCGCGGTGCTGCGCGCTCCCAGGGAGCGCGCACAAGCAGGGTGCGGGGAGGCCATTTATAAGCGGCCACCTGACCCTGCACTGCCACCGTCCCGCCGTTTATATACAACGGCCAGTCGGGAAGTGGTTAAATTTGTTTATTGCTGTAATATCTTTTTTTCTTGTCCCCACCCCTCACATTTACAGGTGATCATGACATCACACTCTACGTTCTATGGACACTTTGCTACTTTTGTTTGTCAGTTTTCTTTTTTAAGTGACCCTCCCCCCTCCCCCACACACACACTTTGTATCATTGCACTCCCCCCCCCCCGCTGTCACAGATGGACATTTCTTTGTATTTCTTTTATGGATTATTCGCCTTTTTTGCATTTCTTTATTGATTTTTGTAATACCATTTTCCTTGTCCCCTCCCACCACTGGCAGGACTCTCCGACAACCTCCTGGAATACTGATGTCATGCATCCCAGGAAGCCTCGGGGTCCTGTACAACGCATGCGCTGCTGTGCATCATCAGGGCTCTGGCTGTCTGTCAAGGATCACCCTGTCACGTATCCACCCACACGCCATGCCTACAGCGACTAGCTAACAGAAGCACGCACGTGTGCGGCCGCGACAGGGAGGTCAAGAGGGGATAAAGGGGACTTAACTTGAATATCTAAAAACCGTATGTAAGATCAGCCATGATACCTTTTCACAGCCCGCACTACCTGTGGCCACCAGCAGATGGAGACTCCACTCCAATCCAGCTGGCTGATCACACACACTGGCAGATACGAATCTTACATACAACCTGGTGCACTGATTAGAGTTGAGGAACAGTTTAGTAATTACACACCCTTCTAAGGTCCCGCCAGCTACCTACAGCTTGAACCCCGGGGTTAATCACCCTTCCACTGTCCACATTCCCCCGCACCAGACACACCACAAAGGGTAGCCTGCCACCACCCAACAGTTTATCCGCAGAACGGTCTGTTGAGACTCCACACACACAAAGATTTCCATCTGGCAGATCTTTTACCTGCAATCTGCGTACAATCTGCCCACTCGCAGTGCAGCTGCATGCAGATTGGCAATGAGCTTGACCGAGCATTTTAAAGGCACTAAAATACAATCTAATCTCTCTGATCTAGTCTCTCCAATCTAGTCTCTCTCAAAGATATGAGCACGTGCTTAAATACACAGAAGTCACTAATTCATTTTAAGATTTAACCAAGTCGGGGATTGGATTTCCGACACCAGCCCAATCGCGACAGTACCAAACACCATCCTGGCTTCCTCCCCAAGCCACAAATATGATTTTTATATGCAAATGCAGCGAACAGCGTGCCCTACAAAAAGGGAGCATGTTCATATCTCTCCAACTAATTTTCCAGCTTTTATGAGAGATTAAACATACTTCTTTGATGAATGAATGAATGAATGAATGATATATACCTATAGGGCTTTCCACATCAGGTAGCTGCCCTGTCTGCTGTAATTAGTTCCCAAACTGGTTTTCCCAGCAGGTGATAATCTTATTAACACAAAGGTGTCACCTCCAGGAGGCCTGGCTATAGACTAATTAATGCTAATTGATGCTAAATGATGACCACTGTCTGTAATGTCTATTGAGTTATTTCCCTAATGGACTCAATACACATTCTTAATGAAAAGGGCTGTTCCTGAATACACATTTGTAATGAAAAGGCCTGATCTACAAATAATCTACTCAAACCTGCTATGGCTATGATTCTATATTTCCACCGATCAAATCTTTATCCACTCAAATCTTACATGTCCGTTACATCTCCCCTCTTCCAGAGGACGCATAGCTGAGCCTAAACGGGTCAGATAACATGTCTGCCAGGAAGGTTCCCTAGGTTTGGGGGGGGGGGAGTTCTCCCAACTAAAGCTTGACACCACTGACAGCTCAGCCCGTCCCCCTGCCGATGGGGAATGGCTTCTGCCCAGCTCTCTGACTGATCCTAAAGGGGTTTGGGTCACCACTGGCCAGCAGATCCCCCCGCGGATCCATTTCATCCACTGGCCACTGACTATCGACTGGACGGGTACTGGCAAACCTGTCATTGTGTGCTGTCAGCATTTTCAGCCACTGGCCAGGGTCATCTGGTGGTTCGCCATTGGCTGCGACACCCAGATGCCTGAGCCTGGCATAAGGTTGTTCCTGGGTGATCTGGACCTGGTTCCATGGCTTGGATTCCAGAACCTCTACTCTGACCTGTCTCCCACACTTCTGCTCTTTCTGCTTCAGCCAGAGACTGGTCAGCACAACCCCTGAGTTCCTCCAGCCTGACATCAAACCTATCAGCCGCCAAGAATACAGTGTTGTCAGATACAGTCTCTGAAACAGCAGATTCTGAGGGGGTCAGTGTTCCCCCATCATCCTGTGATCCTTCCTTTGATGTACACAGCAATGAATCCTCATTCATGATACTCATAGCTGTGGGGGGGCAAAGGATACATCCACAGAAGACTTTATTCCACCAGGGGTCATCCTCTGACCCGTGCCACACCCTTCTTCTACTCTGTCCTCCTCAGTAGAACATCCATCAGCACAACACCTGAGCTCCTCCGGGCCAACCTCAAACCTATCAGCGTTGAAGGACTCAGTGAGGTCAGCTGCAGCTGCTGAGGTGGAAGACACTGCTTGGGCTGAATTTGCTCCACCATCCTGCAGACTTCCCTCTGCAACACACAGAAATGAGTCTGCACTGGCAGCACCCGTGACTGTGGTGACAGAGGGGAAAGTTACAGGAGAAAGGATTTCACTAGGGTTTGTCCTCTGACCCACGTCACACATTTCTACCCCGTCCTCAGCAGAGCATCTGTCGGCACACCTGAGTTCCTCTGGGCTGGCATCAAATGTAACAGCCTCCAGGAACCTCAGTGCCATCAGCCCCAGCTACTGAGGGGGTAGAGTCAGATTGAATCAGACTTAACCCCTTACCCTGTGGTCCCTCCTCTGTGCTCCACAGCCCAGGATCCAAAATGGCATGACTGGTATCTGTGGGGACAGGGGAGCAGAAAAAGAAAACTTCATCCCACAAGGGGATAGAGGCACACAGCACTGGTCTTTACCAAGACTTCCTGAAACACAATGTGCCTTCTCCCCAGGAACTTCAGAAGAACATTCTGTTTCTTTACACATGGGTACAAAACCAAATTCCTCTTGCCCATACAACCCCATCCTGCTATCCACCGCTGGCGGTCCTTCAGCCAGACCCCCGAGATCCTCTGGGCTGCCATCAATTCTCACAGCTCCAGGGGACTCCAAGCTATCTGCCACAGGCGCCAGGTGGACAACAGTCTGAGGAGACCTTAGACCAGCAATGGGCAAACTACGGCCCGTAGCGGGGACCGTATACGGCCCGACGGACCTTATACGGCCCGGCGGACCTTTTAATCCGGCCCACGGAGCGTGCTAAAAAAAAAACACAGCCAGGGCAGGCAAACATTGCCTGTCAGAATGTGTGTAGGTGGGGCAGCATGACGAACGTGAAGGGAGCTAGGCTCCTCTCACAGTCCGCCCTGAAGACCGGAAAGGCGCGGGCAGGCGCGGGAAACACGGCGAGAGGAACGCACGGAGCAAAGGTAAGTGAATTGACACAGGGGGGACTTGGCTTACTACTTGGGGGGGGGGAATAGTACTGTGGGGGATGAAATACTATATGAGGGATGAATTAATATGGGGGATGAATTAATAATATGGGGAATTAATTACTATATGGGGGATGAATTACTATATGGGGGATGAATTACTATATGGGGGATGAATTACTATTACTATTACTATATGGGGGATGAATTACTATAGGGGGGATGAATTACTATGGGGGATGAATTACTATATGGGGGATGAATTACTATGGGGGATGGGGGATGAATTACTATATGGGGGATGAATTACTATATGGGGGATGAATTACTATATAGGGGGGGATGAATTACTATGGGGGATGAATTACTATGTGGGGGATGAATTACTATGGGGGATGAATTACTATATGGGGATGATGAATTACTGATTACTATATGGGATGAATTACTATGGGGGATGAATTACTATGGGGGATGAATTACTATATTTATATGGGGGATGATGTATTTTCAGTTTTAAAAATGTGGCTCTCAAAATAAATTTCAATCGTGGTTTTGGCGAGATTTGGCTCAGTTGAAAAAAAAGGTTGCCCACTACTGACCTAAGGCTATGATTGTGATTATGACGATACACTGTGGCCCTGATTAACCCTTTGCTTACTGGGCCCTTAAACCCCCTTCATGACCAGAGCGCTTTTTGCAGTATATGCAGTGTCGGATTTGTTTTTTTAATGTTGCAATGGTTTTGCGGCTCCCAGTCTTTTTTTCCCTCTCGGAAACGGGTCCAAGTGGCTCTTTATGTCTTAAAGGTTGAGAACCCTGGCTTAGGGTGTCTAATTTCCGAAAAGGGGTCATTTGGGGGTGTTTGTACTATCCTGGTATTTTAGCACCTCAAGAAATGTGATGGGCAGTCAGAAAGTAAAAGCTGTGTAAATTCCATTATCTATACCATAGTTTGTAGACGCTATAACTTTCACAAAAAGCAATCAATATACACTTCTTGGGATTTTTTAACCAAAAACATGTAGCAGAATACATTTTGGCCTAAATTTATGATGAAATTTTATTTTTTTAGATATTTTTTTTCAAAAAAAAAAAATTTTCCCTTTAAAACTATTTCTGGTTATAGCGCCAAAAATAAAAAGTGCACAGGTGATCAAATACCACCAAAAGAATGCTCTATTTGTGTTAAAAAAGGACATAAATTTCATTTATGTGCCGTATTGCATGACCGCGCAATTGTCCGTTACATTAGCGCAGCGCTGTATAGCAAAAAAAATGGCTTAAATTGCAGTATCTATACCATAGTTTGTAGACGCTATAACTTTCACACAAAGCAATCAATATACACTTTTTGGGGTTTTTTTTACCAAAAACATGTAGCAGAATACATTTTGGCCTAAATTTATAACTAACTTTGAGTTTACTATATATTTTTTTATAGCTGAAAGTAAAAAATATATCGTTTTTCTTCAAAATATTTGGTCTTTTTTTGTTTACAGCGTGAAAAATAAAAAGCGCACAGTGATCAAATACCACCGAAAGAAAGCTCTATTTGTGTGAAAAAAAAGGATGTAAATTTCATTTAGGTGCAGCATTGCATGACTGCGCGCAATTATCAGTTGAATTAGTGTGCAGCGCCGAGTAGCAAAAAGAGGCCTTGTCATTAAGGGGGGTAAATCCTCAGGAGCTCAAGTGGTTAAGGATGATGGCAACAGCCATTAGGGGTCCCTCTGGGGTGTATTGCGGCTATTACTGCTCTGTACTACATTCCCTGCTGCCAACACCTGACATTGGAGCAGGGGCGGACTGACAACTCATGGGGCCCCCGGGGCAATAGGGGATCATGGGGCCCCTGTGTCCTTTGCCCAAACTCAAAAAAGCCTATGAAAAAGGTACCAGGGGCATCTCATGGGGCCCCCTACTGACCCCCGGCCCTTGGGCAGTGCCCGAGTTTCCAAATGATCAGTCCGCCCCTGCATCTGAGTGAAAGGGTCACTTTACCATAAAAGAGATGGCCGCTGGAGTGCTCAGCTCCACCTCCCATCATTGGCTCCACCTCTCATCCTTGGCTCCACCTCTCAGGCTCTGTAATCCTTCAAATTTACTGAAAGCTCTTTAGGAAATGGCAGACCTGGATTGTCAGCCCACCAGTCTGCAGCGCTGGATCCCCACTGAGCAGCAGTCAATGACTGCTAGGAACGCCAGCGTACTTAGCAACTTCTTAGCAACCAATGATGTCATGTGTATGCCTTGTCCCCTGTAGCACACCTCCTCCCAGTTCCCGTCAACCCTGTCTGCCCTTCTTCAGGGACATATTGATCAGGCACTGGGCACTGTGATGAGCTTTGCTCATCTATGGGGCTACTCTTATCTATGAGGGAACTCTGATCTATGGGGGGTATTCTGATGACGCAAATGATCTGTGGGGGTACTCTGATGTATGTGGGCACTCTAATCTATGGGGGTCCTCTGATTGGGGCACCTGATCTGTGGGTCTACTCAGATCTGTAGAGGCACTCTATGGGGGTACTCTGATTGGGGTACCTGATCTGTGGGGGTACTCTGATCTGTAGAGGCACTCTATGGGGGTACTCTGATTGGGGCACCTGATCTGTGGTGGTACTCTGATGAGGGCAACTGATCTGTGGGGGTACTCTGATCTGTGGGGGTACTCTGATCTATGGGGGTGCTCTTAATGGGGCACCTACAATTCTGCAGCATAGAGGTGGGTATGTTTTTTTTTTTTTAGTAACCCCATACATATCAGACTGATGCTGCAGTGTGGCGGGGAGAGTATGGATGTTTGTTTTTTGAGAACCCCCCCAAATTCTCCTTTAATTGACCTCCTATTTGATGGTGCCTATTTAGTTCCATGTGTGACACCAGACTACAGCATGACATTAGGTAAGGGGTGCATTTCTTCCTACTGACCACCAATGTGAGGGACACTTTTGCAATTGACCCCGATTAAACTCGTACGTTGTCCTTGGCTCCACCTGTCACTCAGGCTCCGTTGACCAATACATTTCCTGAAGATTCTTCAATAAAGGGCAGACCTAGACTGTCAGCCCGCCAATCAGCAGCACCGGATTCCCGCTAAGCAGCAGTGAATGGTTGCTAGGGGTTTCTTTAGCAATTGATGGTGCCACATTTGCTCCAACCCCTGCGGCGTGCATCTCTCCTCCAGTTCCCGCCCCCTGCCTGGCTGGCTACAGGGACTTGTCAGGTATAATGGGTGCTGTGATAGGAGCTGTGCTGATCTATGGGGAGGGGGACTCTGATCTATATGGGGAACTCAGAGGGAATCTAGCTCTGTATACACAAGCATTTACATGTGATAATGATAATAAATTCTGCTTTCTATGAACAATTTGAAACTTTTTTTTAAAAAAAGTTCTGTTTAAAGGGAACCTTCACCCTCCCCAGCCACTTTGTATCATTGCACTCCTAACCCCTCCACTGTCACAATTGAATATTTTTTAATTTCTTCTACTTTTTTTGCATTTTGTATGAACATTTTTTTTGGTAATACCTTTTTCTTGTCCTTTCCCGCCACTGCCAGGTTTCTCCCGCAGCATTCCAGGAAGCTTTGGGGTCCTGTACAACGCATGCGCTGCTGTGCATCACCGGGGCTCTGGCTGTCTCTTCCTGGTTCTTGCAGCTGTATCCCTGATGTTACACTGGGGCGTGTGCATGCCATCAGGGGGACGGCTACAAGAACCCGGAAGACACAGCGGCCCCTCGATGTAAGTAAACAAGATGGAGGCATGGTGAACAGCTTTCAGCGGAATGCAGCTGGAGAGGCGGTATCATTAGAAAACCCCTCTGCAGTGTAAAGAGCAGGCTCTATGGCAATCCGCATCAAGTGTCTTGGAGCTGCAGCGGCTGGGCTGTAGCCATCAAGTGAACATACAAAAAAACAGCGCAAATAAACACACCTTACTTCAAATACAAATGTGAAAGTGATAAAATCAATAAAATGTCCAAATCAAAAAACTTTTGAAAAATTATATATAAAAAAACATAATAAAAAGTCCTTAATTCCCAAGTGATAAAAAAGATAAAAAATCATATGTGAAAAAAATCAGATAGTCCAAACTGGAAAATTGCTTCCACCATTCACCAGTGAGAAAACCAATAACAACCGCACTCACCAGATATAGGTGAGTATTACACACCTTTTGGGATATACAGGGATCCCAAGCCCCCTCTAAACCTTCTGGACTCTTTTCCACCATATAAGATATTGGGAAGAAATCTTTCCTGGCTCCAGCAGTGCAAAGGAAAGAAATATAAAATAGTGTAATCCTGCTACTGATATATATTGCTAAAAATCATAGCCAGACCACTCACATTTGTTTGATGAAAAAACAGCCCTTTTTATTGCCTCCATAGGCTCACATAAATTCCAGTGTTTCCAAGCTCCATAGTAGAAACCTCACAGCCTGATCAGCAGGGAATGACAGGATAAT